ATACATAATTATCAACACGCCATCATTGTATCTTCCTAAATTTTACATTTTTAATATTTGTTTGGAATATTGAATAAAATTTTAATTTTTTCTTTCTGTTAACAATTTATTTCAACGATGGTTTTTAACATATCAATAACTTCAATTTAATTTTTAAACAAATACATCAAGGAATGAGAGAACTAGAAATATTAAGAGTTTATTCAATTTATTTTTTTTTCAAAGAGAATATATATTTAGGTAAAATAAAAAAATATATACTCGAGACATATTTTTAGATATCTCAAAAGAGAATTCGTTCTTTTAAAGAGAACATGCAATAATCTTATAGAACGTGAATATGGTTCGATTTTCGATACCACGAGGAAAGTTCATTTAAGTAATATGCAATAAGTGGGCAATATCTTGGATATTTTCTAAGAAATTATATAATTCATAGTTTTTAAAATGCATCTTTAGATCCCATACAAATAAATGAATAAATGATTAAAAGGACCTTAGAGTTGCTGTTAAACGACTTGATTTCTCCAATTTTAATTTAAGATTTGGCCAAAATAATACTAAGCAAGCCTCAAAATATCGTTAATAGATGTCCAAATCTTTCTGCTATTTATGAGCAAAATCACCAGGCGTATTTAATATTTTTTTGCCATAAAATAGTGGGTCATCTGTTTTAATTAGTGTTGCTAAATAAAATTAATTCAAAATATAAAAATTATACTAGATTTACAACTATTCGATTTTAATTTTATGGATATGTGTTGCAAATTAAAACCTTATCATTCGATATTTGTTATTTTTAACATTTAATATTTTTTATTAACAGATTGATACATAGTTTATACAAATTTTAAGGGTATAGTTTACATTATCAAAATTAAGGGAAAGGGGATATTAATCATGATGACTTTACTTTTTCAAATTTTTATATATTTATTTTATGTATTATTAATATTTAACTTAAAAAATAGGATAGTTTTAATAAAAAAAATAATGTTAAAAAAACACTGATGGCATACTAAACCGAAATAAATATTAATAGTATATATACAATATTTTATCAAAAAATATAAAAATCTCAATTATATATAAAACATATAGCAGTATATTCATAGTATAAAGTATAGTTTGATATAATTTGTTATTATATGGGGATAAATAGTTTTTAAACATGAATGATATTATAAAAGTTAGTTTTTGAAATATAATAATTTCAAATAATCCATTTTTAAGTTTATTATTTATCAAAATGACTTTATATTATAGATAAAATGTAATTGGTTTTTAAAAAAATATTTTTGTTGCAAATAATGGAACCACTCTAGCTCATAAATTCACTAATCTTAACCAACCACTCTGAAAATTCTACAAGATAATACAAATCCTTTATATAAAAAAAAATTGTATAGCCGTGTTATAAATAATCATTTTATCAAAATTATTTTGTAATAATATGCACACTTACTGTTTTAAAAAGTTAATAATAATTTTCATTATTTCTTCAATTTAATATTGTTTTTTAATAGAAATATTAATCTGAAAAATAACCAGAAAGAGCTCCCAGAAGTGAAATTAAGGTAAATCAAAAAGTAAAAAATTAATTAAACAATCATTTATTTAATTATATCATTGAAAGAAAATAAAAATTTAACTATTAAGAATATATGATAACTTGGGAGAGGAAATGTATTATTGATTTTATGTTTCCTCCTAATATTAATTAGAGATCTGCAAATTCCAGCCCGCATATCCTAGCCTGGCCCGCGGGTCGGGAAAATTTAATTTTTTTTATAATGGGCCAGGCTGGACAATTAATACATAAACAATCAGGCAGGGCCTCCCAGATTACTGATTTTTTGTAAACTTTAATAGGTCCCTATAGGCATTAAAATTCATACATATTTTTTTTTAATTTAAAGCTAATAATATTGATTTTGGTCAATACTATTTAAAAATAAATTACAATATATTTATTTCTTCGTATTTTAAGTGCTGTCTAACTAAGATACTAAATAATATATTAAATTCACAAAAAAAATTAAACAAGTTAATTTTGACATAAGTAAAACTGTAAATGTTGTGATTAGTATTTTTATTGATACTATTAAATTTATTTTTCAGGACACAGCAATAATATTATTAGTTTATATTTTAAATGCGTTTATTGTTGTATATTCACCCGAAAGTAACCTGTTCAGATTGATTGGTGCTTAGATATAAGGGGGGGGTGGTTATCAATATATATATTAAATTTTGTATATTTATTAAACTAAATAGCATGAGTTATATAGAAAAGATCGAAATATAATATTGAAGGGAATCCAGATATGTACATTGGTAAGCTCACATGAATGGCTTTCCTCTTAAATCATGATAAAGACCGCATTAGGCTATGCCATTTTTAAGTGATAGATCAGTTGATTCCACCTGAATTGGGAATCCAGCTTTATCTAAAATTTTGGCTATTTATTATATTGATTATTCTATATCTCTAGACCCAACCTACAGAGTTGGAACAAGAAAGTGTCTTACCTTACAGAAGAGTAACTCGTGCACAAAATAGGCAAGGAGATATCGCAAGACCAATCTAGATCTATTTCGATTCTTCTTCGCCTCATATTGATATATTTTAAGAAAGCGCAAATACTGGTCATATTCATTTGCTTTATGTTAAGCTAGGCAGTGGCTATAATCGGGATAAATATTCTCTATTTAATATATAATAAATTAAGATCTAATTAAAGGATTTTTGTACATTGGGGGTAGGAAGTACTAGAAAAAAATGGAAGCATTATTTCTATATTTCTATGAGATGATAAGCCCCTCTTGATTTAAAAGGTAAAAACCTGGTCTCAAATAAAAGAATTAAATGTAAAATCAAATATTTAGTATGCTTTATTGAATATTTAATTTTAGCTAAATCTATAAGTTAGGTAGCTAGATGATTTAAAGTTTTCTTACATGCTAATAATGTTGTTTTGGGACCCTTTGAATCGATGACCCTAGAATTAAGAGTATACTAAAATTGCAGGCTATCAATCTTCTTAAAAACTTTATTCAAAATTTAATGTTTATATAATCTTTTCTAACTAGGAAGCAGATCTTATGAGAGTGGGTGATGGATTATAATTTATTAATATACCATATTTTTTTCTTAATTTAAATTGACATTAGGAAATTAGTTCTCAATCAAGTAAAATTAAATGTATGCTTAATGGCCCTATATGCTCTACGATATAATCATGATTAAACAGATATCATATAGAGACTAAGGCTTGAGATTGATTACACAATGAATCTCTAAAAGATGGCAATAATAAGATAGTAATATTCATTAAATTTAATAATCTTTTCCTTGAATATGGATTGATTGTGCTATTAGGGTTAGTATAATATTTTTTTAGCCTTATTTCACATGAACTATAAACATAAGTTAATAAAAGTATTGTGGAATAGGGTTAATATAAATGAAATTGTTGGCTAGGGTTAGATTTCATGAATAAATATTTTTAAATATTTTCTTGATTTCAGTTTGTTAGTAGAGACTAATAAAGGATGAAATGTGAGATTAGATAAATCTACATGAAATGGGTAAGGTTAGATTAATATTGCATCGAGTGTTTCCCTAGGTTTTATATTTCAGATTTTCCACAAAGAAATTCTAAAAAAATATATATAATTGAATTGATATAAAAAAAGGTTAATTCTTTTAATAAAAGTTATCATCATTGTTTTATAAAAAAAAAGTGAAAAATTTTTTTTTTTAAAAAATTAAAACTATTAATTCATCATAACATATCATGCTTCAATAAATTTAAATTTATGAATTTAAAAACAAAACTTTTCTCACGTTCCGAATAGAATATTTAAAAAAAAATTGAAATTAATTAACTTTTTGGATTAGTTAAAAAAGATATATACAGAAATACAATAAATTTGGATTAAGATAGTTTGTCATTTCATTATATATATAAATATACTAAACTATCTGGCATAATTTGATCTCAAGAATGGCTTATAAATATGTCGGGCTCGGGAGGCTTGAAAAACCTATTTAAATTTTTCTTTAAAAAAAAGAGTTTTTATAAAATTTTATGACGATGCTTAAAAATTTATTATTAATAATAATATTGATAAGAGAAGTTATGTTTGTGTAATATGAGCATAGCGATAAGCAATAAAACTAATTTAGTAGGTCTCCTGAGATTATTTAATTTAAAATCTAGGAAAATAATATTACCGAGATTTTTATGTGGCCTGATTTATAATTTATATTACAAATATACCTTGGTATGCATTTTAATTATAAAATGTCTTTATTTTTAGTGTTTTATAAATTTCAAAAAAAAAATTGAATTCTCTTTAATTAGAACAGGATTCACACAATTAAAATTATATAGCCAATTTTTATATATTGATTTTGATATAATTTCGGTTTTATTATGGATAAATATTTATAAATTTCACAATTTAACAAAATAAATGCAATTAATATAATTGCTTTCTATTAAATTTATTAGAAAGAATTCTTTGTAGCTACAATTTTTTTCACCTAAAAAAACAGTCCAATTTCCCTAGTTTAATTTGCAAAAAATTAAAATCGGTAATGATCTAAAATGGATAAAATTACTATTTTTGAAGAATATAAATCATAATCATCTAACTTAAGAGCCAGATTAGGTTAAAATAAAAGAAATAAGGAACTAATAGGTAAAGGACCACATTTCATTTCCCATTGTTTAATCAATATATAATTTTTTTTAGTTCCAAAATTAAAATGAAATGCTTAATAAATTTAAATATTAATAATTTTACATTTAATTAATTAAAATTAAATTTTTTTTAAAAAAAAACACTCAATTGATTTTTATATATTTTTTTTTGCTTTAAATAGCAGTCCAAAATTTATATTTTATATATTTATTATTATTTTTTTAAACAATGTTTTTATTATATTTTTTATCATTTTGTAAAAAACAAAAAAATTTCAAAATAATGCTCTGATTCGAACTTAAAGGTAAAAAATAAAAAGCAAAATAAATATTTTTTATTTTAATGGTTGGGCGAATATAATTTTGTCTAAGTGATAGTTAATATTTATGAAAATATTTCATTTATTTGGGTAGATTAGATAGAGGTAATTTTATTTTTAATTACCGATGAAATCTTAAGGTTTTCATTGAATAAAACTTTATAGAAATCTTTTTTATGACCATTTTGTTGTCATACTTTTGTTCAAATTTATATTGTTTTTTATACCCATATAATGTTAAAAAAATGATTCAAGTATAAATGTTCATTTAAATAGAAGTCGTAAGCTTTTATATTTTTTGGGAGTGCTAAAAAATATAAACATTTTAAATTTTATGCCAAACTTTTAACCTTCCCTCCTATTGTCGTACTTTTTCCCCTTTTTATTCATTTTTTCTTCACATTACAGAATATATCCTATTTCAACGTAATATAGTGTTTTTTTTTCAAATTCATAATATCATTTTTCATTACTAATTAGATTGAAAGAGAACACTGGGTTTGATTTAATACTTTATGTGATAAAAACTATAATGCAGTAATTTGACTCGATTGTAACATATAATAGAAATGATTAAAAATTATGATATTATATAATCATTCAATTAAAACACTAAAAATGTTTTAAATTAAAATTTATTGATAATTTAACCAAATTTATATTGGGGTGAAATTATTTATCTATTATTTTGACGAAATAAATAGTAGCTCGAATGTGTCCCTAATGTGTAATAAATTTTAATTTTCTTTTAGTAACATTGAAAAATGAAATATTTTTTAATTTATGCAAATTTTAGGATCTTTAAGAAAAATTACATATTATTGATGATTTGGACAAGACTGACAAATAATTTTATACAATACTTTATTATAAATTATTAGATTTTCATGCTCCAAATTACCTGATAATTAATATATTTTTTCATTTTCAAATTTTTATTGGATTATTATCACTTATGTATTTTTCTAATAAATTTCCTTAGGCCAGCACATCCTCTCACTTTTCCCTCTCTCATCAGTTAAAGGCCTATGAAAAGAAATGCCATTGCTATTTCATAATGTTTCTATTCTCCAGAAACATTGATTCATCTGTCACTATAGGTTTAAGCTACAATTTTTCAATAAATTTATCTTTCTAGAGACTATGGATGGATTTAAAGCATAAAGTTTTTGTTTCTAACTCATAGTATTCCAAAAAAAATAAATAACATTTTTACTAGTATTTTTAAAGTAACTAGTTACCTTTTATAAATTAAATATTTAAAAGTAACTAGTTACCTTTTATAAATTAAATATATATATCTCATTCATTATTTTTATATGATGATTTACCTTTTTAAAATTACTGTTTATATATTGTCATAATCATTCAAATTAATTTGATTAAAATTTTAAATCGCAAAATTATTCTGTATAATAACAATAACTAAATTAAAAATATTAATAAATAAATAACAAAGTAATTGCAATGTAACTTACTAATTACTAAGAATGTAACGTTAGCTAATTACTTTTTAAATGTAGCTTTTAACATTATATTTTTTCTACTATATTAAATATAAAATATTTTATTACATTTGATTTCCACACTTAAAGTGGTTTATCTCATCTCTTTGATTTAAATTTTAAAAAAAACGTAAATAAATTGGATTGCATAAAGTTATAGATTTTTTAAAATTACTATACATTTGGGAATATGTTTATTTAAAATTTTTCACTTATAAAAAAAAAGAAATTATTTAATAATAATTATAATTTCGGAGTTATTAAACTAAAATTAAGGAAGTAGATGTTTATATAAAAGATCTACATGCCTGATCTCGGACATGCTCGGGAATGGGCCAAATGTAAATTTTAAAAATCCGGGATGGGGCCTAAAAATTAAAATTTTGTCTGGGCCGACTTCTAAAAAATAAATTGAGAATTATACTAATTAATTGGTAATATAATCTTAGAAAATTATATAATATAGCGCTTTATTAGATTCATATGTATCTTCAATTTCCATTTAAAAAAAATCGCAAAATACAGCCAAAATTATTCAAAATAAGTAAATTTTAAGAATTCCTTGAGCTATCAAAAAAATGATCAAAAATAAAAATCTGTGATTGGCCAAAATTTAATCTCGGGTCTTATTTGTAAAAATATTTTTATATAAAAAAATCTAAGGAGCCTACAAATTATTTTTTTACCTTACTAGTCATTCATAGTAAATTTTTTTTAAAAAAATGAGAATCAAATCTGAATAGGATATACGGGAATTAAAGGAAGGAACCTAGTAGAAAAAACGATTTATTCCTTTCCATTTTTATTCTATTCTATTCTTTCTTATTTTTCTTTAAAAATTCTTAACTTTGTTTTCTATCTTTATCTTTATTATCGTTTTTTTTTAAAAAATACAGATTTTAAGATCTGAGGTTCAATGACCTTCTATTAAATTATTCAATTTTTAGGCATCGTCTTGAACTCAGAAAGTTTTTTTTCATATCGTTTCTCTAAGGTGATAGTTTTAAGTTTGTAAAACGGTTATCTAAATAAATATAGGTTTCGATTTAAAAACTTATCAACTGGGATGAGAAAATTCTCTTTTTTTTAACACAAAATAATTTGATAAGTTAATAAGTGCTATAAGTTATTTTCAGATTGAATTATAAAAAGACCATCTCAGCATTAGAAAATTTTTGGTTTAAAATTCATACTTATTAATATTATCTTTTAAAGAATATAAAAGGCTTTGACAATTATTATTTCCCCTAAATAAAGAGATAAGATATACACTTCTTTTATTATTACCAAATGTGAGCGATAATCATTCTTTAATTATGAAAATTTTGAAGGACATTCTTAACATTAATTTTGTGACCTCCACTTCATAATCGTGCTGCAAGCCGGATGTTATAACATATTATTTATATTTACAAATTTTTTTAAAGAAATTATTAATTTTAATATGATCATTCTTTATTTCGCTTTATTTATTTATTTTTTATATGGCCTCTCTAACAACAATAACAATCAATGAGGCTAAAATTTATAATAATTTTATTTTGTTGGTGAATGGTGGTATAATACCTAACTATCATAAATATTAAATATCCCATTGTCAGATAAATTGCTGCCAAAAATGGTTGTAAAAGGAGGACATTAACATAATATTGAAAAATTTAGTGATAAATATATTATTATATGAATAAATCATTTATCATCGTAGAAGAAGAAATTCATGTTGACATAAACAAAAAAAAAATTTATGCCAAATTGTGTTCTTTTTAAAAGATACAAATTTATATTATTATTTATATATTTTTTTCATCTTTTTCCCTACAGAAATTAAAATGATAAGCTATTCCTTGCTAAATTAAAATTTAATTGGATTCTTTTTGAATTAATCAAAATATTAAATACACACACAATATATAATAATATTATAATTTATAATATTTGTTTTGTCGTAATTAAAGATTTCCCATAGCATTTAACAAATGAAAAATACAAGATAGATGTCTTTTTCCCATCTATAGGGTCGGGATAGTAAATCAAGGAATAAAGGGAAGGGATGCACCAGCCAAAAATTTTTAAATTTTATATAATTCAGATTTAGCATGTATTTTTTTTTAGTTTAAAATTTTAGGCCTCTAAAGATAATATTTTATTATAAATTAATTCATAAATTATTTAAGGAATTAATAAAAAGGAGAAATCAATAAATTAAGTGTCTTATTAATGTCGTTTATTAAATAATAATTTATTCCTGGAGAAAATTGTTCGAAAAAAAGTTAGTTTGTGTTATTTTTTTAGAATTATAATAAAATATTTAATGACGTTTAAAAATTCTTTTTGTGATACTAAGACGATAAATTTTGAATTAATTATTTTTTAAAAAATAAGTATTAATTGAATTGTTATTAATGTGTGAAATTATATATAATATAAAGATATCAAATTTGGCTTTGATGGTAACTCAAACCCTGAACTATTTTTACAAATTTATCAAAATTCATGATTAAGATATACTATATAATATTAGTATAACTTAACTTTAACCCTAATTTGAATCTATCCAGAGGTGTAACATAAGACCCCAGCCCTCGTTGGGGGGATAGTCACAAGCTAAACTTTGCAGATAGAAGACATCATGTATCCTGAAATTATGGGAAGAGGACAAATTTTGTTTTTTTTAGATCTAACTTATAATAACGTCATTTCTAGATGCCCCTAAAAAACAAAGAATAATTAAATCGAATTCTATAATTAATTTTTTTTTTAAAATATATCTTATGTTTATTTATTTTATTTTTGATTATAAATGTCGACTTCAAATATTATTTATCAACCAATAAATTCAAAAAAATAATTAATTAATCTTAATGATAAATCATAATAAGATGGTGAAACACAAACAGTTTAAATCATTTTTTAAAAATACCTTTTAAATTATTAGCATAGGAATAGGATTATTAAAACTAGTGAAATTTTTGCAAAAAAAAGTTACTATAATGTTACTCAAAAAATGCAATTAGATTTCAACGAAACAAATATACTTATTTTATGTTAAATATTTATTATATAAATAATTTTACTATTATATGATAATTTCTTTAATTTAAAATTTGTTTTTATAAATATATGTCTCATTTACATCAGGTGCTAGAGTAGAAGGTTTGTTTTGTTTAGAGAAGCTTATTCTGAACTAGTCCGCCTTGTTGACAAATTTTTAAAATAGTGTTTTTATTAAAACCGAATAAAAATTTATTAATAAATATAATATTCTTATATTAATGTTAATAATTTTTTTTAATGCATTATTACTTTTTTTAGTGCAAATATATTTTTTATTAGGATTTATTTAGTTAAATGCCATTGTTTCTTTATTTATATTGTATTTTATAAAAATTTGCAAATCGCAAAATATTTTGTTATTTTGTATAATAAAAAATATTATAATTTATAAAGTGATTGCAATATAACTAGTTACTTTTTAATATAACTGGTTACGTAAAAAATGTCAACTGTAACCAATTTAATTTACATAACTTGTAACCTAAACTAGTTACTTTTCAAAATTAACTTTAACCAACACTAACAAATATAACCTTCTTTAAAAGGTAATTTAATGTTTTTAAGTATAAATGCACTAATATAGAAATGGGATTTTGGAAAAGCTAGTAGCAGTAACATCGTTATTGGAGAATGGGGTCATACAGGAGCTCAAAAAAAGATTTGATGAGCAAAAACTTCATTTTTTTTGCTAATTTTAAGTAAAAATTTTATGTTTTGCTGTTCCGAATAGTGTAAAAAGCTAACGACCCGATTGGCTGGTAGTTCTTAGTCCTTATCATTTGAGCCTTGCTAACAAATTTAAAATTTATTTTTGCGTGCAAAAAGCGTTTATATATTGCGATATTATATTTTTTTATTTTTTAAATTCAATATTTTTTATTATAATGAAAAAAAACTTATAAAACGATTTTTAAATTAAGTTTTTCTTTAGCTTTTAGTTTTATTCAATAAATTTAAAAAAAATAAATAAATATAATATTAAAATATTGAAACAATCGGTAATAACGTTATATAAATAAGTATAAATCCATATTTATATAATTCCACTGAGATTGTACATCTACATTTATCATTCGTTGGCTTTCATAATAAGTTTTATAAAAGAATGGATTTTATTTTTATTAGATAAAATTTTTTTTATAATGATATTGGTAATTTATATTATAAATAATAGTATATAGCGATTGAACTTCTATAAGGTGGTCAGTTATCGAAGAGTCTCAATTATTTTTGGTCAAGATAAAGAGGTGATGGATCTATTTAACAGAACATGTTTAATTTGGCAAGGAGGAATTGGACACTAATTTTTTTTTTTACTTTTTAAGAAATAATTATAAGTATCCAAGCTAGTTCAACAAAAATTTGAAGAAATTTATTTATTTATTTTCGTTTTGAGTTATGACTATTAATGGAAAATGGCATTTGAGCTAATTTTTACAAACAGCTAACTCAATATTTTAGCCAAAAAATTATTAAGCAAATTTGTAGATTTTGCTTATAGATGGCACAAAAATTTGGACATCTATTAGCGAAATTTCAAGGCTTCGGCTATATTTTCTGGCTAAAATATTGAGTTAACCCGTTTTAAAAATCGGCTCAACAGAGCGATATTAAATTACTAGATATTATCTGAATAATGAAGGTCAATCTGGTTTAGCCAATTCAGACTATCGGATATCTAAAATCATGACTGAATTTAAAACCAAAACTGAGACACATCAAACAAAACAAACCATACCCTACATTATCGTCAATTTTTCTTTGTAGTCGTTTTTTAAATAAATTTCTCCCATAATTTTAATGCCTAATTTCTTTGATCCTACTATAATTTTACATTATTAAATGTCCTATTTTTGCTACACCTTCTGGCATATTTTCCCTTATCAATATTTATTAAAAAGCTTTCGCAAGAAACTAAATTAGCTCTCACCTTACCTTATTGTCCAAGGCTTTGTTATTCATTTGTTTAAGAATGTCAACAATTGCAGTTGTTAATGCTTCCAACTATTTAGAATCTTGAGTCATCCTTTAGTATGCGATACATTTATTTTTAATAATATGGGTGAAAACAAAGTCCCTTAATCTGTTCATTTTGATTTAGGTCATTTCTACAAATATCACCAACAATGGACACATACTAGAAGTACGAAATAACTCAGATAATAGAAAACTGATAAAAAAAAGGATGTTAGATATACATGTTTTTTTGAATAATGACAAAAATTACATTTTTTTTTATCTCATCAAAGATAGAGAGATAAGTTATATTTTGGAAAAAATAATATTCATAAAAGATTTTTTGTAAATATAAAATATTGTATACAATTCTACAACTGCTATTTTAAGATAATAAATTTTCTTAGAAATAAATTTTAATACTTATTTGGTTATTTATTCTGACGAGAAAGACTTAAAAAAGAGACATATAATTATTCAATTTAGAAAAAATTTAATAATAAATAATTATATTTTTATCAATGATATTTTTATAATATATCAAGTTTATATTAATTACAAAAAAAAATTGAAGTAATTTATGAAATATTTAATAATTTAAAAATAAAAAATATAATTAATTCGTAATTTTTGGACACACACAAACACTTAATATAATAGTAAATGTTATAAACATATGTTTTATATCAACCGTAATAAAATTTGTGGTTATAGATACAATGATCGTATATAATGTTAATTTAATAATTGAACTACAGATATTTTAATAAAATAAGAAACCTTTAATAATTTGTTGTGTAACTTCTTTCTTATTATAATTTGAAATAATAACATTTTAATTTGATTAGATTTTCCCAATTAGCACAACTTATTTTTTGAGTATCAGCTAAAATAAAAATGTTTTTTATCATGCCCATGATCGGACTAACTATTCACATGTAAAATTTAAGAGGCGAACATTAGTGTTTTTAAAAATCACGATTCTGGTCGATTTTTAAAACGGCTCGATTAATATTATGTAAACCGATTTTGCTCATATATGGTAAAAAGGTTTGTACATCTATTTGCCAAATCTTGAGGCTTGCTTAATATTATTTTGGCTAAATATGTCCATTTTTTTAAAAAATTAGGGTTTTAACAAAACTAATGAACATTTTAAATAATAATAGTAATTTTGGAGGATATTGATAATTTTTTTTAGTGTTATTAAAGCTACTTTAGAAATTTAAAAGTAACTAGTTTTGAAATTAGTTACTTTTAAAAATATCTAGATTTAGATTACTTCATAAAAAAAGCAACTAATATCAGTTATTGGAAATAAAAAGTAACTAGTTACATGATATTAGGTATAATACATGATCTACATCATATACATGTTAAATAATTGCAATTTCATTTATCAAAAATAAAATATAAATAAATATTTATTGTATAATATAATAAAAAAAAGACCATCTAACATAGGGGAAGAGGGCGCGATACAATTACATTATTAAAACTTAAGGGGATCCAACATACATTAGTCAGTATCCACTATATAATTAAATATTTTATATTTCAGTCACAAAGGGGACCCTCATTGTAGCTGGCTTAGAAAAGTCCAGGCAATATGCCCAACAAAATTTGGATTAAATAAATGCTTATTTAATTAATTTAGAAATTAGAATATGTGGAGACGTTTAAAGGCATAACATTATCGCTTATAAAACTTTCCTATTTTTAACCATTTAAATTTCTGTTTGGAAAACATTATATATATAAAATGGTTAAAATTATAATTAACACACACACAGACTATATTATAATGTTTACGTGAAACTTGAACCTCGCTAAATACTCCTCCTTTATTGTAAGCTTTTGGAGTAACCCGTAGATTCGATACACTTTGTTAATTTGATAACAGACAAAGAGTTTACAAATAGTTGGATGCCTACTACCTAGCCGTAGCTTATGCAATCACCTATTAGGGGACCAATCGAGGGCTATCATAAGTCTATTTAACCCGTATATGTGACATAGTTCAATCGCATTAGAAAGTATAATATAGATCACCTGAAAGGGAGATATAGAGTTCCTACACTTAGAGCAAACATCATCATGCATCAATATATCGAGTAATTAGTTGCAACCTCCGTGTAGACACATACAAAATACTCTCGCCTTGCAATATTAGAACACTCCAATACCTATGAATTTATTTTTACGACATAAAAAAATGTAATTTTTTTAATTTATATAGAATTGATGTTTTTTATTTTTAAATTCATGCCATTCCCGTTTATAATATGGTTTTTTATTTTTAAATGTTTATCTATAATATAGTCGGAAATTTATGGGATACATTATTTTTACTCATTTTCGGTAGAATCAGATTTGTCGATTGTAAAACAAATGCACAATATAAATTGGATAGATACTACACACAATAAATTGTTGATATTGGCAATACTTAATTAACCAGGTTATTACTCATTTAATACGCGAATTAACCGATTATAAGAATTGAATTTAACATAATATTTATAATTATAACATTATCAGATTACTAAAAAAAATAACTAAGCTCAAGCAATCAATCTATGATAGTATATTATTTAAAATATTATTTTTAATTAATCAAATATTAATATGGCAAGGAAAAAAATTTTGACCTTATAATTTTTTTTATAAAAAGAAAACTTCATTTTTTAAAAATTAATTAAATAGTAAATCTAAATAAAGATAATTGTTTTTTTAAATAAAAAAAATTAAATCTCTAAATCCTTATCTTCTTTAAATTAAAATTTTGAAAAGCGAAGAAATAATAAACGAAATCTTTCTACGACGGTATATATTGATAAAAAAAATTTTAAAACTTATTATTTAAAAAATTGTATATTGATATTTGCTTGTGCTGAACAATAATTAAGTTAGAAATTAACTCTGACTTCATATAGTGACAGAATAACCTTAATCAACACAGGTACTTAATATTTGGGCTTAGGTTGAATCAAATAATAATATATATAAATTTTAATATATTAAGGCCGACAATCTACCCACGCCGAAATAAAGCATTTATCATAAATAGTGTTGTTAAACTGCTTGATTTGAGTCTATTTTTAAAAACGGCAAACTCAATATTTTAGCCAGAAATATATTGGTTAAATCTCGAGATTTTTCTAATAAATGTCCAAATCAGACCTGGGTATTATTTTTCTGTATAAAATATTGAGTTAGCCGTTAATAAAATTAGGCTCAAATCAAGCATTTTCAACACTAGTCATAATCATTATAATTGTTTGAATTTAACGAGATTTTTTTGGCTTCCTAAGGTTACTACCATTTCCACCCTCAAAACAAAAATAAATATTCTAGATTTGAATTTGAAAAATAATATATTAGTCAACTCTTCTTATAAATATAAAAGGTGTAATTAAAATTATAAAGGCTTTCAAGCAATTTTCAATAAACATTTTATAATATCTAATATTAATGAACATGATGGAGATTTATTTAATTAACATAGCGAATATATAATTTTTTATATTAACATCTTATATAAACTGATATAATTATATACAGGAAAATTAAAGGCCAGAAATTTAAAATGCCAAAATGGAAGATATACTTCAAATGATAAGATTTCTGAAATTCGAATTCAAAACTTTTAAAGATCCAACTACATAATCAATGTAGAAATTGAAATAGTATTTAATAAGAAATAGAATAAAATTAAAATTTCTTGTATGGCTTTAAATACTAAAAAATATTTTTGTCATAATATGCTAAAACATCTTATAAATTATTTAAAGGTTTTAAAATAGAAAATAAAAAGTATAATATATATTAGGAAGGATATAAACAAAGCGTAATAACTTATAAATTATGATCACGCGATTTAGTTTTAAGCAAATTATTTATTTTATGCTGCGAGCAGAGTTTTTTTTACAAAATCTAAATTTGAAAAGAAATTACAAAAACGTCAATTGCAAGACTAAGGTCCTGGTATATTTTATTTGTTAGTTAAAGTTATTTTAAAGCTCTCTAATCTATATAGGAATTGGATTTTGAATATATAAATTTCATTCATCTTATTAATCTAATTAATTAAATAATTTTTATTTTAAACTTGAATTTTTTTTTTATATTCATCATATCGGTAGAACAAAAACATTTCTATGAAAATTTTATGATTGATTAGATTGGTGAAATGGATACCTCATTACACATTCAGTTTTCATATTATCAAATAAATGGTCATTGTATTATGCATCTCAAACTTTTAAACATTATGGCATTAAATTTTTGGGTTGAATATATACCAATAATAATGAGAGAGTCATAACTATGGAAAGGTATTTGGGAACCACGCCCTCCTCGAAACCCTCCACCCTAAACTAAATATTGTTCATTTTTGCATTTTTTTTGTGGTTTCCATAAAGTGAATTGTAAAAAAACATATAAATATTAAATTATTTATCCTTAATTTTAATATTACATAAATTATGCTTAATATTAAAAAAATTATGATTAATATTACCTAATTTAGTCATTTAGTATTTATTTATCATTTGCTATAATATTGCATATAGTTTATTTATTCCATAGTTCATATTCTAATCTGCTTTTTCACGGTTATCTAAAAATGACGAAACGGCATGAACTCTAAATTATTATTTCCTCTCAGAAGTGTAACATGTAAATAACTGTATTGTATGTTTAAATTAGGCCACATTTTTAATTTTGCCTTTAAATCGGGGAAAGTCCTAAGTGCAGAAGATAAAAACATCAACATGTAATTATTTTTAAATTCATGAACTTATATTTTGAATATTATGATAATGCAAAATTTTTTGAATGTTAAAAATTAAGGCCTAAATGATTTTAAAAAATAAAACAATGAGCTAGTGAGCATACACATTTATATTTATTAGAATCATTTATTTCAAAATTTTGCATTATATAATATTTTTAATTTAAAAAAAATTTACTAACCAAAATAAATTTAAAAAATCACACTAACCCGCGTACGCAGCGGGAGTGGGGCAGGGGGACAATTCCCCCCCCCCCCCTTAAAGCCAGTAAATGCAGATGCCGGATTATATTTTTCAAAAATATTATTGTTAATATTAATTTATATTTGTTAATATTTATTCCTATCTCATATATATTTAATTACATTTATTTATCACATTCATCTACTAAGTTATTTTATCAATTAATTTCGATTTCAAGTTTTCCTTGGCGTAATATTTACCTATTATTTTCAAATATTAGTGGCGTAATATTTATCTAAATTTCTAGTCAAATAATAATTATCTCTGAAACTCCTTGTCTAACAGGGAGAAAGAAATTGCAAGCTTGTCCAACGAGATCGAGTCGCTGCCATCAAGTAGTAAAGCATTTATGGAGTTAGAAGAGCCGATTATTAATGATATTACTGAAATATCATAATGGTTTGAAATAAATATTTCTTCAGAAGCAAGAAAATTATAGGATTCAATACTTATTCCAAATTTTTTTTCTCATTAGAATGTATTATTTAATTATACAACTATTTTAGGTAATACTTTTCAAAAACATGACATTGACTTGATTAAGAAGATGAGAATAGCGGAGAGCATTTTATTAAAACTCAAGGAAATTAGAGTTAAAGTTGATAAAGAATTTCATATTTTATATATTATTGTTGAGTCAAAGGCAGATCTATACCGTTTAATATTTGTCTCCCTTGACTTGCAGCAAGCAAGCTCATCATCAAAACATTAATATAGGATCAATAGAAGAATTATAAAACAAATGTGCCAACTCTTAGATACATTTATAACCCAAATAAATGAATGGTTTTTAATTCATCATGCAGCACTTACCAATCTGCAGAACTTCCACAAAAGCCTTTAACTTTTTTCAGATGGTGATAGAAAAAAAATAAATATTTATTAAATTTTTATCATGAAGATGTTAAAGTATCTTATGATGCCTTATTAGCTTAATAACTATGACTAAAAGATTAACTATGGTTGATATAGTCCCAAAAAATGCCATGGATGCTTTGCATTATTTCAAAAAAAATTTTAGATTATATTCCTAATGTATTAAAATGGTTATAAATATATTAGCAACTCTTCCCATTAGTAAACTAATGAGAGAACATTTTCTTTTTAAGAAGAATAACAGAGCCCTGCATATTTAGGTACAATTTGCAGGGCACGGCTCGGATTTTTTTTTCAAAATTTTTTTCAGCCCTGCCTGGGGTTTTTTAAAAAAAAAATTTTCAGGCCCGGCCCGGCTTTTTTGAACTGAGACCCGGCCTGAATTTTTTTAAAATATATTATATTTATTTTTGATTTTTATAGCTAATAATGGCGATTTCAAATATTTGGTTTTAAAATATATAGCCCGTCCCGGATATTTCCCCTTAGCCAGGGTATATTTAAAAAAAATTAAAATACGTTCCGGCCCGAGAGCTGGGTCTGCAAGTCTCTGAAAAACATACCTATGAAGTAAAACTTCTGAAAGTAGATTGAATGGTTTAAATCTTTTGAATATTCATAGGCATTTAACGCCAAGCAAATATGAGATAATTGTAAAATTAGCTCAAAACATACAAAATTCAATTATTCCTAAGAAACTTTTTGTGTATTAATTTATATTTCCAACTTTTAAATTTTTTATACTTTATATATAAATTTTAAAGGCTCAAAAATTTCAAATTTCTATGTTGGGTCATTTAAGTGATTCATATGGTGGTTATATTCACTTTATATTTTATAATTCACATTTATTTTATTGTATTTCAATGCCACCATTTATATCCGTTTAATATTTTTTAACACATTTACTTTGTAGTGTTTTATATGCCGGTTTATATATATAATTTTTTTCTAATTCATATTAATTTAAAATTGTGTATTAGAAAAGTTATTAGTCCTAATAAATTTATGCTCAATGATAATTCTTAAAAAAAATTATTATCTCCCCCCCACCACCCCCCAGACTAAATTCCTGCGTACGCGCCTGCACTAATTAATCAAATTATTTTTAAACAACGGGTAAGCGATAACAGGACTTTTAAGTCATTTTTAAATAGATGGAAGTGTTTATAGGCTAAACCCCCTGTTATAGATTGACCATATTTGACCCTTATTTATACTTACTCAACGAAATAACTAATACTTTATGGACTTAGGTTCTATAGAAATAATTCTGGTCTAAGATAAATTTATCATTTTTAATCGTCCCATTCCCTCTCCCCTCTGTTCTTAGCTACCGCCCTATATTGAACCATGAATAGCAATACTAATGCTGATGAAATACTATTATAATGGTTCGATTAAGATAGAAAGATATTATTATGATTCCCACTTTCTCGCTTAATTTTCTACCGATAATTTGATAAATTTCAGGAATCCTTCACCAAAGACGTGAAAAGATAGATGCCATTGGGTCTTCTCTTGTTGCTTGATATTTAAAATTTTAATTATAAATAATATAAAA